CAGGATCACGCCCTGAGCCAAAGGCAGACGTTCAACCACTGAGCCATCCAGGTGTTCCGATCATTGGATTTTGAACAGTGTGAAGGAGATGGAACATGCAAGTGAAATTAGGCTTTAGACTTTCTTTGCCAAAATACAAAACTTGAGCTTAATAGCATGGTGACTAGAGATGTATATTTGTGGTTATATAAGCAAAGACAGGTGAAGCCGTAAGATTCGTGAGCCAGCCAAGTTATCAGAAAGAAGAGTGTAGATGGCAGAGTAAGCTCTGTCAGAATACAGAAAAAGTCAAGGGATGACAATTTACACGAGATGAAAGGGGAGGCAGTCCTCTGGTCAGAAGCATGAAAGTCACTTCAGGGGAGCTGCTTTTTCTCATTTGGTCAGCAAGTTCTCCTGCCTCTTTTGAGCTCTCCTCAACTGTTCGTGTGGTCTCAAAACCAGTCTCCTTGCCTCCAGGTGTGGGGTCCATCGTCCATGCCATCACCACAGTGACTGCCCTAAAGCCCAAAGCTACTCTCATGTGCCTGCGTAGACCTGCTGATGGGCCAGCTCATGAGCCTGGCAACAAGACTCTTCATATCCAGCCTGCTTCTCCAGCCCCACATCCTTCCCCTTCCTACTCAATCTGTGCTTCCATTGGCCAACAGTACCGTCTAAAGAATGCCTCTGTAACTTCGTACGTTCCAGCTGAAAACCTCTTGTCTCCCTCCCTCCCTTGTCTAACAGATGGTCTAACCATCAGTACTCATGTTTTAAGATGGCACATCAGCCTGTCCTCTGTGTTTGACTGTCTTCAGAGTTCAATGCCCCAGTAGCTCTGACACTTCCCTTTGGTTGGAGCATTTGCCACACTGCGTTGTAGCTGTACACTTATCTGTGTGTCTCACCTCCAGGTTGTGCCCTAAGGAGCACCTTCCTCATCTATAGATGAGGAAGGAACTGTAGATAGATGCCAGGTAAATGGCAAGGAACTGTAGATAGATCACCAGGTAGATGGCAAGGAACTATAGACAGAGCTTGACCCAAGCTACTATTCAGTGTGTGACACAAATCATTTAATGAGCATGGCATCCTAAAAACCAAGGGAGTTTCTAGAAACAACAAGTAACAGTTCTTAATGATTTCTAACATTTTGCTTACATCACCAGGCAGATAGCGTCGGGATTCAGATAACTGCTTGGAGGTGCTAAGAAAAGCAGCCAGTGGATCAAGTTAAGGAGCGGCTATAGAAATTATTACATTCCTGATATTTCATAATTACATTCCTGGTACTTCCTGGTACTCATAATTACATTCCTGGTACTTCCCGTCATTACCTCTAAAGGTCAGTCACAAGGGAATCTTAACGTTCTACACTCATCACAGCTACATCTTTTTCTCTCTCTGATATGTCTCCTTAAATGTCTAGAAAGGCTTGCTTGATATGGAAAGCTTTCCCCACATCGTATTCATGTGAGTATATATGTAACTCATGAGTTGAGTCTAGAAGAGCATCATTGTGTTCCACAATTTCAGGATCATGCAGTATGGGCTGGGAGGACCATCACCTTGACCAAGTGGGACTATATTTAAGTTATGCTCTTTATTTTTTTTAAAGATTTTACTTATTTGTTCATGAGAGGTCGTGAGGGGGTTGGGGTGGGTGGGAGAGACACAGGCAAAGGGAGAAGCAGGCCCCATGCAGGGAGCCTGACGTGGGACTCGATTCCGGGACTCTAGGATCACGCCCTAGGCTGAAGGCAGGCACTCAACTGCTGAGCCACCCAGGGATCCCCAAGTTATGCTCTTTAAAAGAAAAAAAAGGTAATAGATTTATTAAGTACCATATACTTGTTAATGTAATTAGTTATTCCCTTCTATCTAAAATGATGATGGTGTTACATTTTTCAACTATATCTCTCCAGGAGATATAGTTTATGTACTCTCAACTTACTTGTGAAATGGCTTTTCTTCACTCACTACTGTGGAAACAAACTAATATATGCTTTTTCTTTTAAAAGAAGCTAAGGAACATGAATGCCCTTCTAAAAAGGAATCAACTTCTAATTAAAAGGAAACCATAGAGCAAATCATATGAAACAAAATCCTTTGTTTATTCTAGCAGTAAAGTAACTGAGTGCGCTAATATTCAGCAGTTCCCAAGCCAGAGCATTGCTACCTTCTGATCTACATTTAAAAATATATTTGGGGACATTTTTTGGTTGTCACTATGACTGGGGCGTGCCACTTATATGTTGTGGGTAGAGTCCAGAAATTCTAGACATTATGTTACATAGTACATATTATCATATATTGTACAGATAATTGTATAGAGGAGAGGATATTCCAGTGGAGTATAAAGAAAGAATTTTTCCATCCAAACTGCTAGTAATACTCCTTTTGGAAAACCCTGAAGTAAAGAATAGGGAATATTTCCAACCCATTGAGTTCAACAAAGATTTGTTCATTAGATTAAGCTCAAGTTGCAAGACTGAACTGAACTATGCTCACTTCTTTATCAAAACCGATGCATTTTAAAAAAATTAAAAAATAAAAAAACGGATGCATTTCTTTTATCTTAATGCCATGTAATGTGATAAATGAATTAAGAAAGGAGACCATCACACTGAGGTATCTGAGGCTGTGGTGGCTTATGTAAATAGGCCAAAGCCTAAGCCTATCAATGCTTCAAGGTTATGAAATTATGTTCAATTGTTCCAAGCAGCCAAGGAGGCTTTTAATCTATAGGCAATCAACATTTTCCTTCTGCTCTTTTTTTTTTTCTTTTTTACATAGCCTCCATGCTAGCCTAATGTCTAGAATTTCTCCACGCCCATTGGCCCATTGTGGGGTCAAACCCAGGACCCTGAGATCCAGACAAGAGTCTGAGGCTGGAACAGCTGAGCCCCCCAGGCACCCCTGCTTCTACTTTCTTAGAAGTCTCTCCCTGAGCTGGTGGTAGAGCATTCCTACCACTTCAGGTTTGGTGCTGCCTGATTCTCATCACTTTTTGCTCAAATACACTATTAAAATGTTTACTATGCCTCGTGTATCTTTTATCCAGCATGATGGGATATTACATGTTTTATCCATCTGAAATGTAGAACTATTATGTCTGTCTCCTTCTCTACCCCTTGCATCTTGGTGCTTTCTGGATTGCAACGAACTCACAATAGCTCTATTTAGCTCTGATTTTCAGTGTTTTTTTTTTTTTTTTTAAGATTTTATTTATTTACTCATGAGAGACACAGAGAGGAAGAGACACAGGCAGAGGGAGAAGCAGGCTCCCTGTGTGGAGCCCAATGCGAGACCAGATCCCAGGACCCCGGGATCACGACCTGAGCCAAAAGCAGACACTCAGCCCAACCGTTGAGCCATCCAGGTGTCCCTGATTTTCAGTTTGATCCTTCTCAGCTCCTGTACCTTGTTGCTCTCTACTTGTCTGCACAAAGCCAGCACGTTGTGAGGATGTTGTCCCCTTGGACACTTAGTCTAAATCACTAGAAACTTATTCTAACATGTTTATTTGAAATCTGGCCCTTCCCAGCTTAATTACAATTTCATTGAGTACAAACTTACTACAAATAAAACTTACCTGCCCACAGGAAAGCTCCATCTAGTTCCAGACTAATGCTGTGTAAGTAGTGAAATGCAGTTACATATAATATTTTATTTAAAATACTGTGTGTGGGGCACCTGGGTTGCTCAGTGGTTGAGTGTCTGCCTTTGGCTCAGGTTGTGATCCCAGGATCCTGGGATTGAGTCTTGCATCAGGCCTGCTTCTCCCTCTGCCTGTGTCTCTGCCTCTCTCTCTGTGTCTCTCATGAATAAATAAATCAATCTTAAAAATAAAATAAAATAATAAAATACTGTGTGTGGATATTGAAAAGCCAAATATTGGACAGTATTTGAAGTCATCTTACATGGTGAGAAGCTCCAAAAAGGCAGAAAGCTGGGGCCTTACTTTTTATTCCAAATGACCTTTGTTATGAATGCCTTTTGCTCTGTGTAATCTGATATGAGACTATTTTGCGACCAGTTATTTTGAATAGGATTTGATAATTTCCGATAAATATAAAGCTATTGGTCTGAAACTACCACTTTTGTTATTATTAATCATTAATTTCTAAAGTGTCAAAACAAAAGGAAAAGCATTTTAAATATCAGGACTGAAAAGCACATGCTCAAAGAATAAAAATCCTTAAACTAAGTAAGTGTAATTTTGTGGAAACTCATTGCATGGTCTACCTTTTGCTCCTTTCCTTACAGCTGTGTGAAGACATTATCACATCTTTTTTTGGTGTTTGTGGTTGAGAATCAGTGGTCCCTGATGGCAGAGCCTTTCAATATTCTCTCCATCTCACTTCCTCATCCTCTTATTTAAGTTTTTTTCTTTTAAAAAATAATTTCTAGGGATCCCTGGGTGGCGCAGCGGTTTGGCGCCTGCCTTTGGCCCAGGGCGCGATCCTGGAGACCCGGGATCGAATCCCACGTCGGGCTCCCGGTGCATGGAGCCTGCTTCTCCCTCTGCCTGTGTCTCTGCCTCTCTCTCTCTCTCTGTAACTATCATAAATAAAAAAAATAAAAAAATAATAATTTCTATACTCAACATGGAGTTTGAACCCACAGCCCCAAGATCAAAAGTAACATACTCTTCCAACTGACCAGCCAGGTGCCCCTCTTCTTCATCCTTTAGAAGAACAGACCTCTTAGCAGAATAAGAATTTAAGTAGACCGCCCTTTAGGACAACCCGTGGATTGTGAAATAAATAGTAGTAGCTCTCTCTGAGGGTCATCACCTCCCTGTCCCTAGCATTCAGTTTCCAGATCGGTTTTCCATCTTTCCTTCGATCTTTACACAGAGCAACTTGCTTGTAAGTGAATCTAATGGGCATAGGCAAGGCCACAGGGTTGTGTACTAGCTACTGTGTTCAGAGGTTGTGTACTCTGTGTTCAGAGGTTAATAGAAAGTCAGCACCTGACTTCTTTGTCTTTAACAAAATAATGCAGAATAGCATGCTTGCTTGAATGTACATATACCAGAGTATAAAGTGATACAGAGATTAGCGTGGGCCCTGCACAAGAATGACATGCAAATTCATGAAGCATTCCATATGTTTAAAGGAAAAAAAAATAAAAATTAAATCAAGCAGTAAATGCAGGTTTGATTAAGGTATCCTCAGAATGGCAAATTTTCATCCTAACGTTATTCATCCTTAAGTTATTATCATTGTGAAGCCAATGTGCCCCAGGGTAAAACATGTCAAAGATTCAAAAAGTCAAGTTAGGGTGGCCCAGCGGTTTAGCACCGCCTTCAGCCCAGGGCATGACCCTGGAAACGTGGGCTCGAGTCCCGCCTCGGGCTCCCTGCATGGCGCCTGCTTCTCCCTCTGCCTCTCTCTCTTTGTAATGAATAAATAAAATAAAATTTTTAAAAAGTCAAGTTAAAATTCAACTGAATTGTGGAAAGCTCCAGCTTAATGAAAAATGAAGATACTTAAAAAAAAGGCAGAATAGTCAGCACAGAAAGCAGGTGTAGAAGACAGGCCCAAGTACAACCCTACAACACAGGCCTGATACCTCTATCAAAGGGCGAGTGTGAATGAGATACAGGTGTTCCAGCAGCAGAGGGCTCCTAGGAAAATCACAATACAAGTATCCCAACTGGATTTCTCTCGGAATCATTAGGCCAGGACTCTTTAGTAGAGAATTCAGCCAAGTCCTTTGCTCTGGAACCTTTCAACTTTTATTTTTTTAAAAATTTTTATTTATTTATGATAGTCACACAGAGAGAGAGAGAGAGAGGGGCAGAGACATAGGCAGAGAGAGAAGCAGGCTCCATACACCGGCAGCCCGATGTGCGATTCGATCCCAGGTCTCCAGGATCGCGCCCTGGGCCAAAGGCAGGCACCAAACCGCTGTGCCACCCAGGGATCCCATCTTTCAACTTTTAAATAAATTTGATATGGAATTTGTTGAAATGACACAATATTCCTATTTTAACTCCATTTTATCCAGTTTTGTTAAGAATATCGCCCTTTTGAGATAAAAAAGGAGACTGTGACTCAGCACAGAAAAGAGCATCCCCTTCCTCAGCATGATAAAAGACATTTATGGAAAACCCACAGTGAACATCATCCTCAATGTTGAAACACTGAAAAAGCTTTCTCCCTAAGATCAAGAATGAGACAAGGATGCCTTTTTCATTACTATGCTACTATGTTCGTCACGTTGTACTGAATGTTCTAGCCAGAGAAATTAGAGAAGAAAAATCAATGTGAGGCATCCGATTAGAAATTAGAAATAAGAAAAAGTTACATCGTTTTATTTTTTTATTTTTATTTTTTTTTTAGTTACATCGTTTTAGAAAGGAAATAATAGGGGATCTCTAGGTGGCTCAGCGGTTTAGCACCGCCTTCAGCCCAGGGCATGATCCAGGATCGAGTCCCAGGTAAGGCTCCCTGCATGGAGCCTGCTTCTCCCTCTGCTTCTCCCTCTGCTTCTCCCTCTGCTTCTCCCTCTGCTTCTCCCTCTGCTTCTCCCTCTGCTTCTCCCTCTGCTTCTGCTTCTCTCTCTCTCTCTCATAAATAAATAAAATCTTTAAAAAAGGAAATAATAATACTGTCTCTATTCATGAGGACATGATCTCAAAGAACCCACAGGAGCTAAAAAATGAGCTCAGCAAGGTTGCAGAGGACAAGACAATCACACAAAAATCAGTTCTGTTTCTATCTACCAGTAATGAACAGCAATCCATAAAGAAAATTAAGAAAGCAATCCCAATTATAATAACATTTAAATAATAAAATACCTGGGAATGAATACAGCCAAGGTGATGAAAGACTTGTACACTAAAACCTATAAAACATTCCTGAAAGAAATTAAAGAGGACCCAAAGAGGACAGCCCATGTTCCTAAATAGGAAGACAAATCTTGTTAAGATGTTTACTACCAAAGTGGTCTACAGATCAATATAATCACTATCAAGATTCCAACAACTTTTTTTTTTGAGATTTTATTTACTTATTCATGAGAGACACAGAGAGAAGCAGAGACATAGGCAGAGGGAGAAGCAGGCTCCCTGTGGGGAGCCCGATGTGGGACTTAATGGTATCCCAGAACTCCAGGATCACACCCAGAGCCAAAGGCAGACGTTCAACCGCTGAGCCACCCAGGCATACCCCCACAACCTTTTTTTGTAGAAAAGAAAAAGGCATTCTTTCCACTCATATTAAATTTCAATATGGGGCAGCCCGGTGGCGCAGCGGTTTGGCGCCGCCTGCAGCCTGGGGCATGATCCTGGAGACCCGGGATCGAGTCCCACATCGGGCTCCCTACATGGAGCCTGCTTCTCCCTCTGCCTGTGTCTCTGCCTCTCTCTCTCTCTGTCTATGAATAAATAAATAAAATCTTAAAAAAAATAAATTTCAATATGAATTGCTGAAGCAATCTTGAAAAGGAACAAACGTGGAGGACTCACACCTCCTGATCTCAAAGGTTAGTAAAAGCTAAGGTAACCAAAGCTGTGTGGTACTGACATAAGGGTGGATAGACAGACCAATGGAATAGAAGTGAGAGTCCAGACCAAAAAACAAAAAATACAATTTAAAAGTGGGCAGAAGAGGGCACCTGGGTGGCTCAGTGTTTGAACATCTGCCTTTGACTCAGGGCATGATCTCGGGGTCCTTGGATCGAGTTCTGCATCAGGCCCCCTGCAGGGAGCCTGCTTCTCCCTCTGCCTGTGTTGTGTCTCTGTCTCTCATGAATAAATAAATAAAATTTTTAGAAAAAAAGAAAGGGCAAGAAGACATGAACAAACATTCTCCAAAAAAGACATACAGATGGCTAAGAGACACATAAAAAGTTGCTCAACATCACTGACCATCAGGGAAATGCAAATCAAAACCATAATGAGTTATCACCTGACACCTGTCAGAATGGCTAAAATAAAAAACACAGAAACAACGAGTGTTGGCAAAGATGTGGAGAAACACAGAAACAAGTGTTGGCAAGGATGTGGAGAAAAAGGAACCCTGTGCACTGGTGGGAATGCAAATTGGTGCAGCCACTGTGGAAAACAGTCTGAAGGCTCCTCAAAAAGTTAAAAATAGAACTGCCCTAGACTCAACAATCACAGTAGTGGCTCAGTAGTTGAGCATCTGCCTTTGGCTCAGGATATTACCTTGGACAGAAGAAAGCAATACCATTTTAATGCCCACTTCTGTCTTTTCAACAAGGAATGATAATACTTATTCTTTTTAAAGATTTTATTTAGTTATTCATGAGAGACAGAGAGAAGCAGAGACACAGACAGAGGGAGAAGCAGACTCCATGCAGATAGCCAAATGTAGGACTTTATCCTGGGACTCCAGGATCATGCCCTGGGCCGAAGGCAGGCACTAAACTGCTAAGCCACCCAGGGATCCCGATTTTTTTAGTTTTTAAAGATTTTTTAAAATTTATTCACGAGAGACACAGAGAGAGACAGACACAGGCAGAGGGAGAAGCAGGGTCCCTGCAGGGAGTGTGATGTGGGACTCAATCCCAGGACCCTGGGATCATGCCCTGAGCCAAAGGCAGATGCTCAACCACTGAGCCACCAAGGTGCCCCCAAATGAATTTTTAAAAAGATGTATATTTATGTGTATTTTTAGTTATGATTTAAAAACCCATAAAGTTTTCCATCTTAACCATTTCTAAGTAGCGTTAAGTATATTCATATTGTGCAATAGATCGCCAGAACTCTTTTTATCTTGCAAAATTGAAACTTTATACCCATTAAATGATTCCCCATTTCACTTTCCCCCCACACAATGATGACTACCATTCTACTTTCTTTCTGTGAATTGGACTATTTTAGATACTTTGTGTAAATGGAATCATACAGTATTTGTCTTTTTGTGACTGGCTTATTTCACTTAACTATCAACCTTAAGGTTCATCCATGTTGTAGTATGTTACAGGATTTCCTTCCTTTTTAAGACAAAGTAATATTCCATTGTATGTATGTACACTTTGTTTATCCATTTATTCTTCCAAGGATATCTGGGTTTCTTTCGCTGCTTGGTTATTGTGAATAACGCCGCTATGAACATAGGCGTGCAAATATATCTTTGAGACACTGCTTTCATTCTTCAGTATATACTCAGAAGTGGAATTGCTGGATTTTTTTTAATGGTACTATTTTTAACTTTTTGAGGAACCTCTCTGCTGTTCAGATCCATTTATGGGATTTGCACTCTTGCTGAAAATGAACCTATCATGACTGAACTACTAGCAATGTTTCAGGAGGACAGTTCAGTTTAGGGTAAAAGCCTTTTGCAGCTTCTGTCTTTAAGGCTTCTCTCTGAGATGATTATTTGGGAGGTCGTGTTGTATTTATGGCAGCTATGGAAATCTGGAGAACACTGATTTCAAACCATGTGCAAAGCCACATAAGGAATCCTACTCAGAGATCTTGTTCCTAGAAATTCAACTCACCTTTACCCCTTTCTGCTGATTTTTTAAGGGAACCCTTCCTCCTCCCTCCCCCCAGAAGTTCAGTAATCTGAGTTTGGGAAGACCAGGTGCGTCTAGGTTCTCAACGAGTTAGCAGTTTTTCCTTCTGCTGGGAATACTTTGCCTGAAGCACCCTCCTCCCTCTCCTTGATCTCGGCCAGTTCCTCATCTCGTTCTAGGACCTGAAACAAATTTTAGCCATTGTATTTCTCCTTACTTGAGGTCACCTGCTAGGTCTACTAGAAAGCAAGGCCCTTGCGGACACACCTGCGGCTCCGCCTCGTGTGAAGCCCTGGCACAGGACGGACATTCCGCGCGCTCGTCAAATGAAAAGGAAAAGAGCGACCACGAAGGGACTCGAACCCTCAATCTTCTGATCCGGAATCAGACGCCTTATCCATTAGGCCACGCGGCCGGCTAGCAACTGGGCTGCCGCAGTCAGTAAAAAACTGTGTGCAGTGGTGGGGAGGGTCCCCCTGCGGCCCAATGTGTGGGTGCTGCTCCCCGGAAGCCCCCCGGGTGAGGTCAGTTCCGCCCACCGCTGAGGCGCCTGCGGAGCCCGCGGGGCCCGCGGGGAGAGGCCGGCCGTGTGCGGGGGGCGCGCGCCACGCGGGCAGGTGCG